GTTGTTTCTCCTCTTCAGATAATTTAGTGTTTCCTAATTGCATAGGATCTGGTGGTGAACCACAGGGAGGCAAAGCAGGTAGAGAAGCATAGGGCAAAGTCTGCAAGGTTTGAACCTGCATCCAGTTATAAGACTTGTTCGCCCTAGTGTTCCTCCTCTACCTACTTACTTGACCGCCTCAGACTTTGAAGCTCACTTCACTGACAAGATCTCTACAATTAGGGAAGAGATTTCTCATCTTTCTTCTTTCCCTTTGTAACGGCACCCTCAGCATAAAAGGGTTAAACCGCCGTTTAGGAGATCTTCCCCTTCCAGATATACAGGCACAGCTGCTGCAGAACACCAAACTCCTGAAACGCATGTAAGGGAATGCTCCAAACTCCTGAACTGCATACAAAATAGCACTCCAAACTCCCGAACTGGAACCTCACAAATAGCTGCTAGCAGACGAATAGGAAAAGCACCCAAGCGGCTTACACTCCTAGCAATCAGTCTCTATCAGCATACAGTAAATCCCCCCAAGAACGAGACAGGGTCAAGCAGTGGTCTGTTTAATGAGGGCTACCTGCCCAGTATTTATGCAGGTCTCCCACCTGGTGGACACTCCCCTAGGGGACCAAATGGGAGACTGTGACACAAATAGTACAATGACCAATCACAGGCAGACATGGTTAAAACACTCCCCTAATACATTACAAGCCCTCCCCTCTATCCTGGAGATAATTGAGAAGTAATCCAATTATCTCCAAGGACAGAGGCAAAACTCCATTACCCACATGGTTACAGTAAAATACTAAAACACAATAAAATACACATTACATTTATCACACAAAATATATACTTGCAACCCATCCCCAGATAGCTGGGATCTGAGTGCACAAAAGTACCGAATAGCGCTCAGATCCTATGCACACAGTCCAATTGCCGTGGAGCCAAAGTGTTCACAAAGTCAGTTTTCATACGAATGAGCTCCACGGGATTCCTATCTGGGGTATGGTGTATTCAGGTACAAACTATCGAATATAGGGCCGTTTGTGCACTTCTACCGAACAAGAAGGGAGGTCAGCGGCTTCAGCGGTGTTCGCGCTAAAATGTATCCATTTTCAGTTCCATGAGTTGGGCGTCGAACACCGCTGTGCGTTCGCGTATTTAAAATGGCCGCGACTTCGTGTTCAGTTTACGAATGGCGGTCACCCAGCATTCGTCAATTAAGCTGCGATTAACCGCAGCTTCTGGGAGGTTAATTGCCGACCCACTCCAGCTCCCAGGTGGTCCAGTCATTTGTGTGTTAGTTCGGTAGATTGAATATACAGAACACTGGGCAGAAAGACACAAAGAAGCCTTTACTGCAGGGGAAAAAGGAGGCTTTTAACATGGGGCCTTAATCCAAAGGCAACAGGCGAGCAACCAGGCTTCTCCAATGTAATGTGGCGAGATTGGTCTTGTCACACCCTTGCAATATTTACCCTAACCTCACTCCCTCTGTGGTTTTATGTTCATTCGCACATTCTACTGCGGAAGAGGTTTCTGCTCTGGTCCAGTCCTCTCATCCCACCACCTGCTCCCTAGATCCAATTCCCTCGCATCTCATCTGTGCTCTGTCTTCTTCTCTTTCTCTACTTCTCACTAAAATTCTCAATCTCTCTCTCTCTTCTCTGGCATATTTCCAGCACCCTTCAAACATGTAACCCCAATTCTAAAGAAGCCCAACCTTGACCCTAACTCCCCGTCCAATTACCATCCTATCTCGCTACTGCCTTTTGCATCCACGATCCGTGAAAGAGTTGTGTATGCGAGATTGACAGACTTCCTCGAGTCCAATTCTCTGCTAGCTCTGCTTCAGTCTGGTTTCCGCGCTAAGCACTCTGTGGAAACAGCAGTGACCAAAGTATCCAATGATCTACTCACTGCAAAATCTCGTGGTCACTACTCTATCCTAATTCTCCTTAACCTTTCTGTGGCTTTTGACACTGTTGATCATCAACAGCTTCTTCTCATCCTCTGCAATATCGGTCTACAAGATATTGCTCTCTCCTGGTGCTCCTCCTACCTCTCCCAGTGCTCTTTCAGTGTTTTTTTCTCTGGCTCTACATCTTCTCCCCAACTCCTCTCTGTTGGTGTCCCCCAAGGTCCCCTACTGTTCTCCATCTATACTGCTTCTCTTGGTAAACTCATTAGTTACTTTGGCTTCCAATATCATTTCTATGCGGACAACACCCAAATCTATCTGTCATCTCCTGATCTCTTCCTGTCCCTCTTAACTAGTGTCTCTGACTGCCTCCCTGCTATTTCTAACTGGATGGCTGGCCACTTCCTTAAACTCAACTTGACCAAAACTGAAATTCTGGTCTTTCCTCCCTCTAGTGTTGCTACTCCTGTGTCAGTCTCCCTCCAAGTCAATGGTGCTACCATCAGCTCCACCACACAGGCTCCCTGCCTAGGTGTTCTCTTTGACTCTGACATCTCCTTCACGCCTCATGTTCAGTCTATAGCTAAATCCTGCTACTTCCATCTCAAAAACATTGCGCGCATCTGACCCTAATTAACACCAGATGCAACTAAGGTGCTGGTCCATTCCACTGTCCTTTCTCATCTCGACTAATGTAATCCGCTTCTCAGTGGTCTTACTTGCTCCCAACTTACACCGTTACAGTCCATAATGAATGCGGCAGCGAGGCTCATCTTCCTGTCCGCCGGCATCGCCCATGCCTCACGCTTCTGTCAGTCTCTACATTGGCTTCCTGTAAGATATAGGGCTCAATATAAAATTCTGGTTCTTGCTTTCAAATCTCTACATAATGCTGCTCCCACCTATCTATCCTCCGTAATACACAAGTATGTCCCGTCTAGGCCCTTACGCTCTGCTGAAGACTTACGTCTATCTTCTATCTGTACTCCCACCTCCGATGCTCACATTCAAGACTTCTCATGGGCTGCACCGTTCCTGTGAAACTCACTTCCCTCCTCCCTTAGATGCTTACCCAGTCTCCACTCCTTCAAAAAAATCATTAAAAACCCACTTCTTCATAAATGCATATCAATTAAACGGTTAATAGCTCCTGACTGATTCCTCTCTTGCAACTGTCATTAGTCTAATACTATACTTACCTTTTGTGAGACTTTAACCCACTCCCTCTAGCATGTAAGCTCAATGGAGAAGGTCCCTGAACCCCTTTGTTCCTGTGTGTCCAACTTGTCTGGTTACAACTACATGTTTGTTCGTCCACCCACTGTAAAGCGCTACAGAATTTGTTGGTGCTATATAAATAATAACATAATAATAATAATAATAATAATTAATATATGAATTATGCTTCATTGCAGTTGTAAAGAAAGTGACTGTGACTTGGGTAAGTATATTAGGTGTGTTATTAAGTGGAACCTGATGACAAGATTGACAATGGGTTCAGTCCCAATTGTAACAACAATTAAGTTAGTCAAAATATCATGTGTAATAGAAATGTAAAACATAACAAAAAAT